TTCATCTGTATCCTTTATCATATCCTTTATAATAAACTAGTAAAGGAAAGTGTTCCCTGAGCTCTGTGAGCCATGTGAGCAATTTACTAAACACACAGAGGAGGCTATGGGAACTCTGATTTCTAGTTGTTTGGTTAGAAGCACAGGTAACAATCTGGGACTTGGAATGAGTGTCTGGAGTAGGAGAAGTTTTGTGGGATCGAGCCCTTAATTTTCGGGATCTGACACTTAACTCCAGGTAGATAGTATCAGAATTGAATTGAATTATAAGGACCTCTAGTTGGTGTTGCAGAGAATTGCCTAACATGTGGAAAACCCATACATCAGGAGTCAGAAATATTATGAGTGGACAAACAAAGAAAAACCAGGCATATTTTCTCTAGAGAGTTGCAAAGAATGCTAGGTTCAATCTCGATCTGCTCTTGGGCCACCAACAGAATAATGGGAAGAAAGACAATGACATGTCTAAAGACTTCAGAGTAAGTGTGGCACCACCCCCATGGGTCCAGGGTGGAGACTTGCTCCTAATGTCTCCCCCTCAACTAAGGGACCATGTCTTTTGTAGATACACTCCTAGTGTCTAGGCTATTTCATGGTAGGTGGAAAAACAACATTGATAAATGACTAAACTTTGTGGATTATGGGGCTTGAACCTAAGACATCAGATGGCAAAGTTTTATCTAACTGAAAAAAAAAGTGTCTTTTCCATCATCGAAGTCTCAAGTGTCATATACCTAGACTAATAAACTGATATGCTCAGCCTCTTCTATTGAGTCTTCATGGCTTTCTTGACCTACGATTACCTTTGGCACCATTTCCTAATACCTAGGAGACATGGCATGCAAAGCTCTCCATATAACAGTTGTCTTTGATCTTTACATCCATCACAATGTGTGATGGTGATGTCCCTATTCAGAGAACAATCCCCTTGATGCCCTCACGCATCTTCCTGCAGCAAAGGACAGGCCTAGAAAAGGCAGGTTTGTGGGTGAGGCACATTTCCAGGTTCTAGCTGGCAACTCCACATCCTTCTCTCCCATTGGTTGAGATACACCCATGTGTATCAATGCTGTGTTTGAAGATAGCACCCCAAAGACACAGCTCCTCACTTCTGTCTGCAGTAGACTTCCTGCCTCTGGATATCAGTATTCCTAAAGTTAGACTCAGTGCAGAGAACTTGGTGCACATAGGTGAAAGAAGGAGGGCTATAATCTCCTCTTTCATGCTCTGTGTTCACCACTTCTTGTCACTGAGCCTGGTTCATATTTGATCACCAAGGGCCACAGGAACTCTTTTTAAAGAACTGGGAAGGAAGGCAGTCTTAGGTATGAGAGCTAGGATCCTCACCCATACTCACTTCCTTTGAGAAAAATGCAGATCAGTGGAATCAAGCAACTTTACAAGGTAACATCAGTGTCATTATACAAGACAGTGTATCCAGGAGAAACCCATGTCAAGACCATGATCATACTCTAGCAGGGAGGAGCATCATCCAGACATACAAATCTTCAGAAGTGATGTAATGCATGTTTTGAGAAGAAAGATATTATGCATTTTAGCCAATGGAATGAATCCTGTCAGAGCATAAGGTCAAGATTCCTTCTATGGAGCAGAGATAAAGAGGAGGAGATGAGCGGCTGCACCTCTAGGCCGCTGGGGGCAGAGGCTGGTGACCCCGGCTGGAGAGCACAGTGGAGCATCCCAGGCTTCTCCTGGGACCATCTCCAAGGACCAGACNACAGCTCCTCACTTCTGTCTGCAGTAGACTTCCTGCCTCTGGATATCAGTATTCCTAAAGTTAGACTCAGTGCAGAGAACTTGGTGCACATAGGTGAAAGAAGGAGGGCTATAATCTCCTCTTTCATGCTCTGTGTTCACCACTTCTTGTCACTGAGCCTGGTTCATATTTGATCACCAAGGGCCACAGGAACTCTTTTTAAAGAACTGGGAAGGAAGGCAGTCTTAGGTATGAGAGCTAGGATCCTCACCCATACTCACTTCCTTTGAGAAAAATGCAGATCAGTGGAATCAAGCAACTTTACAAGGTAACATCAGTGTCATTATACAAGACAGTGTATCCAGGAGAAACCCATGTCAAGACCATGATCAAACTCTAGCAGGGAGGAGCATCATCCAGACATACAAATCTTCAGAAGTGATGTAATGCATGTTTTGAGATTAAAGATATTATGCATTTTAGCCAATGGAATGAATCCTGTCAGAGCATAAGGTCAAGATTCCTTCTATTTAGCAAGTCAAATGAAATGACTTTAAAAGTCTAGTTCTCTGGTTTATAGGGAAGCGAGTTGCTATGTGATGAAGTGGAGGATAGTAACAAAGGAGTGTTTGAAGATGTAAACTACGCAGATTGCATCCAGAGACCTCTGAAGGACAGGATGGCCTGGCCTGGTGATGCTTCCTAATTATGGTGTCTGGAAAGGGCTATTCATTAATGAACTCTGAGTGACTCTTACGCCAGAGCTGACCTTTCTGGGGAATGTAAATGGAATTCTCGAATTCTGTATTTCTTCTTGATAGAACCCAAAGTAGTAAAGAAGTTTCATTCTCATTTATTTCTTCCTAAATTTCCTTCCAAGTCACTTTACTTAGTAAACTGCGTTTAAAGATGTTAAGAACTTTTAGAAGTGAATTCTTTCTCACCTACTGAGACACATTTCAGAATAGTCTGAAGCTCTGATATGTGAATACCTGACATTGTGAGTCTAATAATTAGACTAATAATTAATAATAACAAAACTAATTAAAAAATAATAAAAACCTTACAGGACATAGGTTTAAACTCACTTTGTTGTTGTTGTTTAGTCAATAAGTTGTGTCTAACTCTTTTGTGACCCCATGGACTGCAACCTGCCAGGCTCCTCTGTCCATGGAATTTTCCAGGCAAGAACATTGGAGTGGGTTGCCATTTCCTACTCCAGGGGATCTTCCCAACCCAGAGATCAAACCCTCATTTTCTTGCATTGGCAGGAGGTTTCTTTTGCTAGTGGTAAAGAACCTGCTTGCCAATGCAGGAGACCTATGAGACGAAAGAGATGTGGGTTCTATATCTGGGATGGGAAGATCTCCTGGAGGAGGTCATGGCAACCCATTCTTGCCTGGAGAATCCCATGGGCAGAGGAGCCTGGCAGGCTATAGTCCATGGAGTTGCAAAGAGTTGGCCATGCCTGAAGTGAGGTAGCACGCACACATGCACCTGGAAAGCAGATATATATTCATATGAATATATATAGATATATATATATAGAGAGAGAGAGAGCGAGTGAGAGAGAGAAAGGGTTACCTAGTCCCTATAGATGTCTTTATATATCTAGTCCCTATAGCGATGTCTGTTCAGCTCTTGTTTAATGCTCAGAACCCTGCCTAATATTCATTTTCTCAAAGATCTAGTTACAACCACCTCGGGGGCCCATGTTAGATCTTTCTCAGTACTAGGGGCCTATAGTCTGCCAAAAATTTTGAGAAAAGTTGAGTCCTTAGCCATCAGCTGTTTTGGTTCCCTGGTACTAAGAGCTAGTGATGTGTTTGATATGTATAACCATTTTGGAGATGGAACTTTTCCCCTGAGCATTTTCCTGCATAGTCCTTGGAGAACCCCTACTGCTTTGATACCTCAACATTTGTATTTTCTCAGAGAAACAATATAGAACAAAAGAGAAAAATATAGAATATCAGATTCTTGTTTTCTCTCTTAATTTCAACTTCTTGCTCAGTTTCTGAGCCTTTTAATCCTTCTTCATCTAGCAATGACACAGTTGTTCTCCTCTTCGGGGCTAGGGTGGGGGATCAAGGTGAATAAGAACAGGCTCTGGAGTGGAAAGAAACATACTGAGAAGAGGCTTTGACATTTTACAACTGGCCTGATCAGAGAAAAACAACTTCACATCTCTGGTCCCCAAAGCCTTATTTATTTGTTTTGTAAAATTAAGATAAGAATACCTACCTCACATAATGTAGGAAGGATATAGGCAATATAATCGATAAATCCCCTAAGACACGTGATAAGTGCTCCATAACAGATTTTAGAATCAAGGAAGTAAGACTGGAAGAGAGATATCAGTGACTTTGACTCTTACATTTCATGGTCAAGTTCTTATATGCAATTCAAAAAAATTATTTGAATCTCTTATATGAGATTAAAAAAGATCATTATTATTATTAATAATCTTTGTTATTGTTTTTTTATGCTCACTTTTCTTGGTTTAGATCAGGTGTTCAGAGTCACGCTTATACTAATGAGTTTCTCAGACATTATTGAAAACACCCATGGCTACCCACGTTATAGTGCTTCTTGATGAACAGAAATGGTATTGTGCCTAAACAACTGTGTGTCAGGTTTGAGCCTGGCACATAGGATGTGTCAGAAGATGTGCGTTGAATGAACGGACTTATCAGAGAAATCTTATTGCCCCTCAGAGTGGAGCAGAAAGGCAAACAACTGAAGAAAGAAGAAATATAAAACTTCTCGATAACCAATAAGCCCATAACATCTGCCAAAACCCAGTTTCTTCCCTGGATGGGGAAGGCTGGTTGAGTCTTCGCCCAGCTCAGTGCCACTGTGGTCACAGAAGTTTGTCTCTGTTGCTCCTCTGATGACCTACAGGAATAGTCACGTGTTCAGTGTGGACATACCACTAAGGAGACCAACCATCTGATGACGGAAAGGACTTTTGTTCTTTTAAAAATAATGAAAAGCTTCTGGCAGCCCACCAACAGCTCATCTGATATCAAAGAGCCAGGAAGCACCTCAGATTCATCAACATTCCTCTAATGAGGTGAGGAACTCTTAATGGTAAACTCAACAGCTGAGTAACAGGATGACGGTACAACAGTAGGTAGAGAATCAAGGCAGGGAGGTCAAAGCATGGAGCCCACACCCACTTGGGTTGGGGTATAAAAGGGCCGGGAGGGAAGAGGGTTGTCAGACTCAGTGGCTCAGCCTTCTCAGCGGCTCTGAACCTCCTCTGTATCCTCAGCCCACCATGACTTCCTCCTGCATCAGCTCATGCCACTCTCTGGGCTGCACCAACACTCCTGGAGCAAGAAACATCTGCATCTCTTCCATTGACACTGGAGACCAGCTTGGGGTAGAGGTCAATGCTGCCCTTCTGGACCTCTCGGCCACCCTGGCGCACGCCAACCGAGTCCGAGTGGGCACAACCCCTCTGGGTCGACCCAGCCTCTGTCTGCCCCACAGCTGCAACACCGCCTGTTCTTTGCTGGGGACCTGCGACATTCCCGGCAACATTGGAATCTGCGGAACCTTCAGTGAAGGCTTCTTCAACAGCCACGAGAAGGAGACCATGCAGTTCTTGAATGATCGGCTGGCCAGCTACCTGGAGAAGGTGCGCCGGCTGGAGCAGGACAACGCAAAGCTGGAGAACCAAATCCGAGAACTGAGCAAATGCCCTGAGTCCACCGTGTGTCCAGACTACCAGAGCCACTTCCGCATCATCGAGGAGCTGCAGCAGAAGGTGAGGTGTGGAGCAGCCTGGGTGGGGTGTGCTAGGCCTGAGGGAGGCAGAAAAGCATGGAAGGCAAACACCCACCAAGAGCTCAGGGAGCTTTGGGTTCTTGGAGTCTCCCGAGTGTGAACATAGACATCCCATGTAGAGCAGGAGTCCAGAGTGTGATGCTCTGTATCTGAACTATATTCCTGGCTTTGGTCAGATCCTGTGCAGCAAGGCTGAGAACGCCAGGCTGATCATCCAAGTGGACAATGCTAAGCTGGCTGCTGATGACTTTAGAATCAAGTAAGTAAGGTTGGGGCTTCCCTGTTGGCTCAGTGGTAAAGAATTTGCCTGCAATGCAGGAGACCTGGGTTCAATCCCTGGGTGGGAAAGATCCCCTGGAGAAGGAAATGGCAATCCACTCCAGTATTCTTGCCTAGAGAATCCCATGGACAGAGGAGCCTGGTGGGCTATAGTCCATGGGGTCGCAAAGAGTCAGACCCAACTGAATGACTAACAAGTAAGGTTGAAGGAGGGCTCAGGGTGACTCCTTCCTCCACTGTGAGTCCCAATATCTGAATACTTGCTGAATGAGTGAATTACTGTCCTTTTTATTCCTTATTAAATTTTTTTTTGCTGGGCTTCTGTCACTTTTACAAACAGGGTAAATCAAATTGAGTATCTATAGTTTGGTATTAGTCTGTCTTCATTTATGTTTCCTAAAATGGTTGTGATAAAGCAGTCCAATTTCATTAACCAGGAGCAAAATAAAGTGATTTCTAGAATAAATTGAGCCATTGACAGCCACTGAATTTCACATATAAGTTAAGGGAGCCTCTTAGAGATAAGTCAGGGTCCAGATTTACCTATGGAGCAATCTATGGAGCTCTCAGGTGCCAGGTATTTCCACTAAACAAAGATGAAAGATGAGAGGTGGAAAAATATCCCAACATAAGGGATAAAGGAGCAAATCAATGACCAAGCGGTTGGCTATTGCTTATCCTAGATAACTAATAGCTCATACAATGGCATGAACCCTGTGTTGGGTCCTAAGGTACATGATCTTAGGCAGGTCAGTTAATCTTTCTGAACCAAAGTTGCCTCATTTCACAATGGTGAAAATGATTAAGTGCTGTGAATGCCTCACTAGACAGTGAGCTGTTTGAGAGCGGGCACTGTGTCTAACTCATCTCCAAGGCCAGTGTTGAGCCCAATGAGCAAATGAGGGTCCACGTTGGTGAAGCGGGTGGGGGCGGGGCCAGCTGAGAGGGGCTCTCCTCGGCATCTCGGCTGACTTGCGTCTTCTGTGATGGAAGGCATGAGAGTGAGCACTCCCTGCGCATGGCGGTGGAGGCAGACCTGTGTGGGCTGCACAAGATCCTGGACGACGTGAGCCTGGCCAAGGCCGACCTGGAGGCCCAGCAGGAGTCCCTGAAGGAGGAGCAGCTCTGCCTCAAGAGCAACCACGAGCAGGTCTGGTCCTGTGGCTGCTGACTCTGTGGGGAGGTGAGGGCGCTGGGCAGAGAAGGGAGCGCCTCCCACCAAGGGTCTCCAGGGTTAGAGTCTGGGCTCAGGTGGCAGCAGGATAAAGGGCTGATCTGGGCCTGAGAGTCAGGCTGGCCCAATGGGATGTGGCAGAGTGGGTGTTTCGTCTCTAAAGGTATGCCTTGTGAGATTAGGAAGGTCTCCAGGTGGGTCTTTCCCATTGGACCCAGGGCAAGACCTTTCACGTCAGTGTGTGTGGTGTTGCATCTCATGCTGCCTGTCGGGGACGGGGCTCAGGTGATGTCTGCTCTGTGAAATGCCCTTTTCTTACTGCAGGTCTTGGTCTCTCTGTCTCTGTAGGAAGTGAACACTCTGAAGTGTCAGCTGGGAGATAAGCTCAAGATTGAGCTGGACGTGGTGCCCACTGTGGACCTGGGCAGGGTGCTGGAGGAGATGCGGGGCCAGTACGAGGCCATGGTGGAGACCAACCTCC